TATAATATAATATAAAATAATATAATGTAGGATAATATAATATAGGATAAGAAAAATAACATAAGACAAAATAAAACAATATAATATAATATATCATATCATATTAGTATATGTTATATTATATTCTATTATATAATATAATATTATATCAATTTCGTGTATATATATATGGTTATACTATATTGTGTTGTAATACCGTATCTTATAATGTATTGTCTGATCTTATGTTATCTTATCTTATCCTATAATATATTATCTTATACAATAATCATTCATATTGCTGTATACTATATCATATTATCTATGTTAAGTTATATTATGTCATATTATATTATATTATATTATGTTATATGTATGTATGTATATATTTTTCTCGACCCTCTCCTGTCCCAGTGACAGCGAAATTATGCAACAGTCGCCATGACGCCCGCCGAACAAGGGTTCGTCCTCGGTGCATGCAAGCACTTGCATTCGATCATCATTCCCCTTGGACATGTTGAGTTTTCTGTCAGGACATTAATCATACAACTTGGCAGTCGGCATCTGCGTGCCAGTCCAGATAATCTGTTCCATCAGCGTACAGGTTGACATTGCAGCTATTAGGCCAATCTTCCGCTTCCTCCTCGAAGCACAGAAAATGACATGAAAGCATCGACAGGCATAATCCAGTGGCAGGCTCGGTGGTCCTTTGGGAACCCACAGAGCGGCATCACCACGTCCATCAATTCGTTCATAAAAGGTGGAAACGGTGTGGCATCGACTACCTCTCGAATGAACACAAGAACTCGTTTGCTCCTCACGCAGAGAAAAAACACCAGCTAACTCTAGCATGTTACAGGCTTCTGTAAAATTTCATTCCAGAAGGTCTGCAGTGTTCTACCGACATACGAATAGCTATCTTTCTGCTGGAGCACGGCCCCTCCGTATCTATAGGGGCAGCTGCAGCCGCTGCGGACCAACCATTTCGTAAACCTCGACATAGTACCGAGGTTGCCTTGTGGCCGGTCCTGCACAGCAAACCCGCAAGACAAGAATGAGCCTTTTGATTCTGAAGTACCCCTGCGCGCAAGTCTCTGCGGGCCCAGCTTTGCTCGTGATGGCGACCCGCGACCAATGACTCTACTCTGCAGACTACATGTTTAAATGACTCACAAATGCTGCTGAGTCGCCCAACCACCAGCATCTTCAATACCGTCTTTTACAAGATTTGCCCAGCGCTTGGCTGTATCAGCATCGATCCCACCCTGCAGTGCAGAGACATACTGAGGGTAAGGCGTCAAAACACCACAACTGTCACACAAATAATGTGATTCGAGATTTCCCACGTTGCCAAACAACCTGTGGGTCGTGGCTTAGATGTCACTCCAGTCTTTGATGTGAAGCCCTCAAATTCTAGCCTTTGGAACATTGCATTTAATAAAGCGTGTGCATCACATTGCATAATTACATCTTTGCGGGATTTGCAGGCAGTGCCCTGCCCGGGATTCCTACCGAGAAAACCACGAGGGGCAAAATGCAAAGGCAAAGCCAGGTAAGTACCCAGAACACATGCCATACGAAAAAGAAAGCCCGAATCCGGAATCGAAGATGCGCACTGAGTGGCAGCAGTTCCGTTTCCCGCAAACGCAGCCGTCAAGATTATAAGGGGCACGTTAGCCGCAAATTTATACAGAACAGGTCCCGGGTTATAATGGGAACTCCCGATGGCCTGATCCGAACCCCCCCCCAAATAAATTTGGCGGGTTTCGGGCTTGCCACCCAACTAGGTAGTTTTGTAGGGCAGGTCTGGCAGGTACAGTCGACAATTAGGGTTTCGGGTTGAGGTTAAGGGTTTAAGGCTTCGCTTTAGACGCTAAGTTCCTGGGCGTAGGTGTTTTACGTGTTAAGGCCGAAACCTTGAATCGTTTAAGGTTGGGGCTTAGGGCCGAAACCCTCACCCTAAAACCCTCGACCCTAAACTCTCAACAGTCAAACAAACGCAGTAACAAAACACGATTGTTCCGCGGGGGCCGGATAATTAATCAGAGGGGCTTGCGTTGCCTGGGGTAGGCCTTTGCAGGCTTGAAACACTGAGTGTTTTACACGCGCCTTTGATTGCAAAAACTTCTTGCTTGGCCACCTCTTGAATTTCTTCACTCCAGCCTCCCCTTGCTTAATATTGAGCCTTTACTGCAGTCAACCTTGCAAAGACTGTCCTCACCTCCCCCTGAACCCTGAACCCTGAACACTGGACCCCAACCTGCCCCACAACAAACCCTAAACCTTTAAACTCAACACCCTGAACCCTGAAGCCCTTCTGAGTCTGCAGGCAAGTTGGTCTTTGGAGATGCTTGGGGCAGAAGGTTTGCCATTAATCGGGCGGGGGTTGTGGCAAGGTTTTTGTTTTTCCAAGGGGGGCCTCTGGTGGAAGAGGCCGGCGCCTTTAAAACATGGTGTCAGCCAGGTCCGAGGCCCGCGGGGGATGCCATTAATCATGGGGGGTTATTAATCAAGAGTTGACATTAGCTGCCTTCGTGACGTCTCCTGTGTGCGCAGTGCGGAGTCACAAGCTCGTTGGCCCAAGATGCAGTACCCAAGTCATCCAAGGTTTCGCAGTGAGCAAGCCCCTGCATAAGATCTCCATAGAGGCAGCTGGCATGTGGCATGTTGAGACTGCCTTGCAAGCAGTCGCATGTTGGGAAGAGGGTTCGTCGCTGATAAGCTGAAGTGAAGTCATGGCCTGGGTCACCTGACAGTCGCATAGATTAGGATGTTCAGAGGTTGCCCTTTGGGCTTTTTGACCGCCAATTCCACGGGGAGTCGGAAGATCCGGATCCTGTCAGGACCGCAGGCCCAAGCTGAACTACACCCCTATCCTCCTGGTTTCTTGCATTGTGCCGTATCTTTTGGCATGGTAATTATGCGTTTGCCGCATGAACGAAGTTCGCAGCATCCCTGCACCGAATCCAGCTTTGGCCCCAACTTTGAAGAAGCAACCCGGCACTTGGTAGAAGCTACCTCCACGAATGCCTCTGAGTGTACGGTTTGTTTCGGCTTCGGATGCTTTTTGCAAGCATCGCCCCTGAACGCAAGCTGTTCTATGTGTTCCATCTATGCTCGATTGCGCAGATGCTCTCTATGGCAAAACTGGAGTTTCTGCAACGCGCCGGTGCCCCATTGGACATGCCGACGCTTCGCCAGAAAGCATTCTCTTGGCTAAAAGATAGCTTCAGCCTTTGTAATTGCATGGCTCCTGTTATCAAAGTCTCTGAAGCTGCTACAGAATAGTAGAAGTCGTTGTCTTCTGTCTCAGCTGAACAAATCACACGTATCGGGACCTGGACCCTAGGCACAGGAGCATCGGCAGAAAGAGCTCAACACGTTTTACGAGCTTCCGAAGCTTCTTCAGTGCCTTGGATCTTTCTGGCCGGGATCAGAGGGTATCAGGAGGATAGTTTAGGGTTTAGGGGCCTCCGAGCCTTTAAGGGCAGTTCTTTCCAAAAGCACATTCAGGCGCAGAACCTTCAACTGTATTTCACGATGCTAACAGGAACTGCGGAATACTGTAAGTCCTTAGTCGCCTTTTCAGTCTACACCGGCTCACATGGGTGTGAGGCCGCAACCGCAGCGACCGGAGCCACGCTGGCTCAAGTGCGAGTGAGGGCGACAGCTCCGGCTCCGAGGAAGGGCATCTCGCTTTGTTTCTCGGTGAGCCCACGTCCAAGGGTTTAGGGTTGAGGGTTTAGGGTTTAGGGAGTATCAAGTTGCACGAGCAGCGACACGGTCTATATTTCGACGGGGTTTGCACAGACAAGGCTCGCAGGCAATGGGTTCAGGCAGCCCGCTGACCGTGAAGATTCCAATTCGTGCCCGAATGCCTGACTCCAGCAGAAGCTTGCCGGCAGGACGAGGAGGAGAACGACGTGGAAGAGGGGGAGACCGGTCGTCTTTCTCGGATGCTGATGCACGTCGCACCACGTGAAGTGGCTGCTTGCCCAAATGCTGATTGATGGGCGAGCTTTTGCTACTGCAAATGCTCACTGCACACTTCCGTATGCTGCAGCAGGATCGAATTTGCCGAGTCTTTCACCAACTCCGACGGTTCCATGCAAGTAGCATTTTACTGTGTGTTGGCAACAGATGATAATAGGTTCACCCCAATCCTTGTCCACAGCTTGCTCTGCTGTTGACAGCACTCTGGCGCATTGCAGTTCAACCAGCTGGGCTGGTGTGTTCAAGCTCTGGCGCCAGTGTAATTCTGGCATTATGATTCATTCTAGGTTTCAGCATGAGCAGGCAGTGTTCGATTGAAGTTTGCTGACCAGCTCGCACCTGCTGCTGTAGCTGCCCAGGGTTCTGTGAAAAGGTATCGCTTGCATCCGCGGCAACTGCAGCAAGACCTGTAAGGTGCACATGAGGGAGTCCTTCGTTTACATGGTTGCTGGCCTGAAGTCTTTTGCTCGCTACATGGACCCGGAAATCATGCGCATCGTCGTTCAGAGCAGCTTGGCCCGGTCTCATCTTGCTTGAGAGAGTGCTGACTTGTCTGCGGAGATGAAAAGGCTTTGAGGCTTTGTTGCAGGCTTTCCAGCGCCCCAGTAGCAAGGCAGCCATACCGTGTCGCCGTTCAATAGTAGTAGTCTCAGTCATCCCAGGAACGGTCATGGTAAGGGTTGCAAGCATGAACTTCATGATGCGCTTGTGTCTCTGAACTCACAAAATCTTCCATGGCACAGCTTCGTTTGGATGGCTCCCTCCCCAGCGAATATCCCCACAGACTCTCCTAAGCCTAAGCTCAGGCAAGCGCCAGGCCCAGCTGGGGATGGGAAAGGCGCCAGTGACCATTTTCTTCAGCTCCTCGGAACTTGGAGGGGCGGATGGAGGGGCTGGGATGGCGCTTTGTTCGTGTTGGGGAGCAGAGTCTACTAGTCGGGTTACTTTAGGTATGTCGCCATATTATATATCTCTTTCAGCCATTCAGCTGCCAAGCCTGCAAGACCGCGAGCTCATGACGAGGTGATATCGCCAACTTTACCACCATTGCCGAGAGCTTGGACCCCGAGACGTTCATGAGCATGCTGAGCCTCGGCAACAGAGGAAATGCCTCGTTGAAGAACTTCGCTGTTTCGATTACAATGATTGCAGAACGCTCCTCGAAGGTAGGTTGCGGGCTGTCACCGTGTCAACCGATTTGATATGACTTCGTCAACTTCTCTCTAGATCCTCATCAACTTGTCGCTTATTCTTGTGCAAGCATCCCACACCCCCCTTCTTGCATAGATGAGGAGCGATTACCTCGACGAGATGAGCAAGATCTTGGGCAGCAGTCGCACGTTGAGGGTTTTGGGCCTGGTACAAAGCCAGGAACTTGTTGAGGCTCCCGACCGCTCTGGCCCCAATGCATCGGGGTCTGGGAAAGCTACCTGGCTTTTCGGGTGGCAGTGGTTTTTGCTTGCCTGCGATTGCGCGATCCTCTTCAGGATCATCATGGGCAAGAGGGGGGTAGTCGGCGAGTTCATCGGTGATGCCATCATGGCCTGGTGGAATGCCCCTTGCAGCAAGCGGACCAATCCAAACGGCGCTGCAACAATAGGCCAGCAAGCAGTCGAGTCTCGGGTTTGCCTGCAAGGCCTAGAGTTCCCCCACTGCAGATGGCGCAACAAGTTCTTGCCAGGCAGCAGTCTATGCCCAGCGCATGGCCAACACACGCAAGCCGAGCGCAATAACATGACGAGAGACACATGACACATGCTTCATCCACAGGGCCGCAAGCCAAAGGTAAAGTGGCACCCAACAAAAAACAGCGCAATCAACTTGACGGGCTGCCGGCCATTCTGGAGATCACCCCAGGTCATGCCTTAACCTGCTACACGTCTAAAGACGCATTGCAACCTGGCATTCATGCTTTCATCATATGGTCCGGTTCCCACGACTCTTCTCCAATCCTCTTGGGGCCGAAGAGATTTTGCGCTTCACCAAAGGCTCCCATCGACCTTGGGCCCAAACATACCGAGCTCGCTCTCTCAGCAGCTTTGGACCAGCAGGCCGTGCACAGCCCGCAGGTTTTGGCTTCTTTTCGCTAGACTTCGATCAGGAGCCTAAAGCATCCTAAATGCTGTTCTGTTTTGGTTAGTCAGGCATAGTTTCGCGGACCAAAGAAGTTTGGGTCAGTACCACCTCATCTGCCCGACAACCCGTATGTCAACACCTAAGAGCTTTCTGTTTCTATTCATGTTGGGCAGGGCGGCCTAGGTTCATGCTAAAGCATGGCCAAGTAACACGTTCTTCTTTTTCAGGATGAAACATTGGCGAAACCTTATGAACCTCCGCAAAGCCAAGAAATTTCCCCAAACGTAGGCCGTGCTGGGATAAGAAAGGAGACTGTTTGCATCCACGGCGTGCTGCCATCATCATCAGCATAGGGTATAGACTCAACACCGACCCCAGTGAATTACGTGATGACCGTCATTGCAGAAAAAGCTTGGGCTTACATCGTCTTACATCATTGTGTCGCCAAGTCCCCAACCTGCACGTTGTAGAAAGGGATCACCTGTCCAGGTCTTCTCGTCTGGGAAACAAAGCCAGAATCGGTCTCAGGTGTTGCATGTTGTCGGTTGTCATCCTGTAGCCATTTATTCCACCAGATCTCCAGAGCAATGGGTCGAATGGTGGGGCATGTTGTTTGTTTGTTTGTTTGTGTGTGTGTGTGTCTCCCTATTTCTTCCCTCCTCTCCATCATCAGGAGGAGGCTGCTGCAGTCTTCTAAGACCCTAGCAAGGTTTGAACTCCTCAGTGCCAGGACCGAGTATCTGAGCTTCGAGAGAAGTGGACGAATGAAGGACTTCCGGAGGCCGGTGTGCTTGCAGTGCTCACACTGGCGCGCGTCTACGTCATGCTGCGGGATAGCATCGCCTTAACCATTCCCTTTGCCCTTTGCACATATTCTCCAAGTCCTCTTTGTTCTGCTCGAGCTTGCATCTCAGCCTTAGGTTCGAGTTCGCATGGGCCTGGTCCGGGGTACTGCGCCTCGGTGTACATCTTTCAACAGCCAGGTCTTGAGATGAAAGCTTCATTGATTGGGCAGCGACGACTTAGGTGCTGGCAGGGAACATCGGCAGCTCACAGCGCATGAAGTGTCATGGCGAAAGGAATTACGACCAAGAAATGTCGTTTTATCTTGCTGTATTCTTGACCGAACTAGCTTGTCGTCAGGCCGGGAAAAGCGGTCTCCGTGCGAGCTCGTAGAGCTACTGTATCCGTAACCTTTCGCTGCTGGCAGCTTTGCAAATTAAATCCACTGGCCATCAGTCGGAAGGGGTTGCACTGTTGCCACGCATCCCACAGCTCCGCTGCACCTGCACAAGACAGCACCTGCAAACAGATGCTGATTGAGGTACGGTCTCGTGGGCGACAGCGTCAATTTGGCTTCCCGGTTGGAAGGACTCTGTGCCTTTGCATGAAGGAGGCTTCGGTCAATAGCTTCAAGCAAGCATCTCCGTGTTGTGTTCATTCTTTGTATGGTGCTCTTCCGAGCTGATCCAAAAG